TTGCTCAGTCATGTCCGACTCTTTGCGATCCCATAAATCGCAGCACACCAGGCCTCCCTGTCATCACCAACTCCCGGAGTTTACTCAAACTCATGTCCATCGAGTCGGTGATGCCATTCATCCATCTCATCCTCTGTCGTCCCCTTCTCCTCCTGCCTTCAATCTTTCCCAGCATCAGGGTCTCTTCCAGTGAGTCAGTTCTTCACATCAGGTGGCCAAAGTATCGGAGCTTCAGCTTCAGCATCATTGCCAACCATATGCCAAAATCTATGCCAAGCACTAGGATTCAACAGTAAAGAAGGTGGACAATGTCCCCACCTTCATGGAGCTCACCACTGATGAAAGTACACAACTAACAAAGAAATACAGTTTGTGATCAGTGTTTCAAAGTTACACTCTTAAACCTTAGTGCTCACATGTATCTTTTGGGAATACTGTTAGAATGCAGATTCTGATTATTTTGGCCTAACATGAGGTCTGGGGTTCTGCGTTCCTCACAAGTCCACATACAGGCTCATGAAGAGTATCAGTGATACTCCTGCCACTAGTTCATGAATCACACGTGAGGCTGTAAGACTCTCAAGGGCATTAGCATGATGGTGATAGAGAACAACTAGATTAGAGGGAACATTTAAGCAATCAGGGAACACTGGATTTAGTTGTTCTGATACACACAAAGGATCCAAGAGTTAGGGTTAGGGGAACCAGGAGAAGAGCAAGTACAAAGGCCTTGAGACAGGAAAGATGTTTCTTGTGTTCACTATCAGAGAGGAATGAACAAGGAATAAAAAAATCCAAGATGAACTTCAAAAAGCAGTCAGGAGTCAGATCCAGAGGGTTTTGGATGGGCTGGTAAGAAGCTCATGCTTTATTAGCCAATAAATGAGAATACAGTAAAGTGATTTAAGGAGGAAAATGACATTGGGGATCTAAATGTGAGAGAAAGTAAGTAAACCCTGGACCTTGCCAAGGTCCAGGTAAGGGAAGACAATGGCTTGGAGTAGGGTGGTGCCCCTGGAGATGGAGATGTGGGTGGAATGAAGGTATATTTGAGAAATAGAGGTATAGGTAAGAACAATATATACCATGAATGGACAGAAAGAAGCAGAAATGAACGTCATAATTCTGATTTACTTCTCTGAGTAAATGATGGTACCATTAAATGAAATGGGAAACACATTAAGTGTGAGATATGCATAAAACATTCAGGTGGAGATGTCAAGCAGGCAGTTGGAGCTCAGAAAGGATGACTGGGTCTGAGAAACACACTTGGGATTTCCAGCATTTCTATGCAATTTAGAGCCTTGAAGAAGGATGAAATCTTTCAAGAAGAGGGCCAGAGTCCTGATGAAATCTGATACTGAGATATGCAACAGAGAAGGAAGAACCAGCAGAGGAAACTGAGAAAGAAAGCAGAGGAGACATCACTGGGGAACACCAGGTGAGTGTGTTGCTATAAAAGTCAAGTGCAAAGAAAATATCAAATGAGGGAAAAAAAGGTGTTTCTTGACAGTTCCCTGGGAATCACCGCAGGGCTCCTTCTGGAAAGGAAGGGAAACAAGGAGACAGGGTAATAACAGTAGTTCCTTTTCTTTTTATATATTGCACTTTGCAATAAAATTATGTCTGACCACAGAGCTTCATCACTGGACCAATGACCTCTGCAGAAAGTCTCTCCTCTGATACCGCTGTGCATGCAAACCACACAAAAAACACTCTTCTTGAAAATACACACACCACATCCATTAAGCATTCCAAACAGTTCAAAATACTCCCTAACCAATAGCTTTCTTTACCCAACCTGCCCACCACTGCGAAGTCCTTTGTCAAATAATTGCAAGTAAATTAGAGAAAACAGCGTTCATTTTCTTACCGATCAACAGTCAGCACAAAGAATACAAAAGCACTCTGAATTAAATGGGAGAGCCTGACTAAAACTGGATGGTTTCTTCCCAGTGTGAATTTTATTAACCTTAAGTTTAAGGTCCATGGTGTTTCCTATAGTGATAAAACACTGGATGCTGAACAAGAAGGCCTTAACTTTTTCACTCAGTTTGACTAAACTTCAGATAGACTTCTTATTCCAGACTATGGCCTCCCTTTTCTTAGAGCATTTTACTTCAGAAAACTTGTAAATTCGTTCTTTGCCCTTTGGGATGTAAGTCTTTTTAAAAGCCTCTTGCCAGTTTTTCAAGCAAGGATGTCTTCTGCAAGGATGTGGTAGCCCTTTGAAATGCAATCAAGGAAAAGAAAGCCCCCATCTCCCAGTCTCTGTGAGAAAGTGGAAATCTATGGTCCTATCTTCCATGGGCACGTTGCTCCAAGTTGTAAAACTACTTTGTCTTTCCTTTGTTGTCATTCAGTCGCTAAGTCATGTCCGACTGTGACCCCACCAACTGCAGCATGTCAGGCTTCCCTGTCCTTCACTACCTCCTGGAGTTTGCTCAAACTCATGCCCATTGAGTAGGTGATGCCATCCACCATCTCATCCTCTGTCACCCTGTTCTCCTCCTGCCCTCAATCCTTTCCAGCATCGGGGGCTTTTCTGATCAGTCAGCTCTTCGCATCAGGTGGCCAAAGTATTGGAGCCTTAGCTTCAGCATCAGTCCTTCTAATGAATATTCAGGGTTGATTTCCTTTAGAATTGATTGGTTTGGTCTCCTTGCAGTCTAAGGAACTCTCGAGGTCTTCTTCAGCACCACAGTTCAAAAGCATCAATTCTTTGGTGCTCAGCCTTCTTTATGGTCCAACTCTCACATCTGTACACAGCTACTGAAAAATAACTTGGGCCAAACTGACCTTTGTTGGCATTCCTTTAAATATATGCCATTTCTTTCTAGATTTCTTGGGAAACTGACATACAAACAATAGCCAGACCCTATATAGCAATAAAACTCTGGCAGTCTCTGTGGCACCAGTCCAGAAAGGTTAGGACTTGTTCAGTGACTGCTAGCTTCCATATTTTTCCCCTCCTACTGTTAGGGGAAACACTGACCAAAACCACCCACCCTAACTGCTTCCAACTCAAGGCTTACCACAGAAAGCCAAATACACTCCTCAAAGCAATTACATTAGATGCCCCACTTCTTATGCACTTCCTGCTTTTCTAGGTCAACAATCTCTGATCAGAGCACAGCTAAAGTTCTGTTTCATGAGAAGCTTTTCTACTCCCCATCCTGACTTTGAGTCTTTGCTAAATGCAAGTGATGATGGCTGACTCCCTTGTTACAACAAGTGCTGAAGAAACAGCCTCTGTTCTCATCCATGTGATCTTTCTTTCCATATCCTAGATATACACCTACCCAGAATCCTATATTTTCAAATGAGGTAGAATCTTTTCTGGGGAAGAAAACATTTCTTATTTTTTGGTTTATGTTACTTTGGGTTTTTAATGGTAACTTTTCAGGTGACCCAGCTAACTTTTTTTTTAACAGTATGCTTTTATTCTTAAAAATGCTTAAAAAAAAAACAGAAGGACTAAAATAACTCATATGAAATATTTTCATAATGAGAGCATCAGAGCAGTGGTGCTCCAGGATCACAAGAGAGCATCAAAATTACCAGGAAAGCTTGGTTCAAACACATGGCTGGATTCGCCAACAGAGTTTCAGTATATCCAGAATGAGACCCCAAACATGCATTTCTAACAAGTTTCTAGGTGATGCTGCTGTGGCTGGTCTGGGGACCACATTTTGAGGACCAGCTGATCAAGAGCATCGTGAAAGATTCCCTAACCCTCACATCTCCACTGCAAATTACTTTCTTTGTTCCTAGGTTTAGAACTTCCTGCTTGGAAGTGGGGAGACTGTGACATTGATTAAACTCCTATTACATAGCAAGCAACACACTAAGGACAGTTTTAACATTGGCTCATTTCATCTTCACAATAACTATGTAATCTATAGCATGATGCCCTTTTTTCAGAACAGACTGGTGCTCAGCATGGTAAGGAGACTTAAGATCCTACTTAAGATCAAGTAATAGACCTGGGATTTTAAACCTACACATTCTGATTGCAAGATCAATGCTTTACCCACTAAATGTTAAATGTGCTCATTTGAAATTGAATAAATTTCCTTTTAAGACAAAAAAGACAAGCTAAAGTTTTACTGTGTATCTAGAAACCTAGAATCAAACATGTTGATGATGACAGCTTAATATGCCTTTTAAAAATATGCTGGCTATAGAAAATGCCAGGGAAAAAATTCACACAGATGGAAATTATGCTTAATGGATTTTCTATGCAATTCTAAAAGCACTACTTTTGATTGTTTTTGAAGACCTTATAGAGGAAGGTGGGAGGGTGAGGGTGGGGGTTAGTACACAAGGGAAGTAGGCTAGGTATCTTTCAAATGCCAACACGTGGAGGAAAATTCTTATGGCAAGCTCTAAATAGACTTTTCCAGAGCCTCAAAGATCACACACATTGAGAATGAGAAAAACTTCAAAGCCCAAAGAGGATCTGTCTGTATGGCGTATAATAGAGTTCAAAGCTGCAAGGAATACAAAAGATATCAGGATCAAAGACACGGTGCTCCAAGGCCATGTCTGGATGTAAAGCCAAGCCAGAACTGATGTGACAAGATTCTCACTGCTACACAGTGTGTTAACTACCAGGGCTTCCATTCTTCCAGGAAATAAAATGCTAGATGACAGTTGCCAGTAAGTTATACCTTAGAGGTGAGTCTCACTTTAAGAAAACCTTTTCTTCTAAAATTGGAACTCAGCAAACAGTTCCAGAGATAGATCTTTTTTTTTTCTTTCCCATATGTTATTTCTTCTCTGGTTTGTTTTACAAACATCTCTTTGCCCACATTTGCTCAGGGTATAGAAATATTCATCAGGTACAGAAAGGCCTTCCTTTGGAGTAAAACACATGGCATGTTTTCAGTATTTAGCTGATCATTTACTTCCTTGAAATTATTCTTATGGTTATGAGAAATCCATCCCAGGGAAAATATGGACCACATGGAGTCTCTCTACCATGGTCAATCATTTACCAGAAAGATAAGGCCTCAAGGAAAAGCGGAATTTCCCCTCCTCTGATAACGTCTTGCTCCCCATTGCTCTGTCACTGGGCCCCACTGCTAATGAATCCAGCTCTGCACATTTTGCCATGGTTCTGCTTGTATGATAAGTATTATGATTTCCTGTCTCACCTCTGCTTCTGACAATATAAAAATCTTAAGTTCTGGTAAAAGAAGAAATTGCTTAGCGTTACTCTACTGCAGAAATAGCCAAAAAATGGCCAATGGACCAAATTCAGCCCACTGTCAGTTTTTGTGAATAAAAGCTCATTGAAACACAGGCACATTCAACTGCTTATGTATTTTCTATGACTGCTTTCCACCATAAAGGCAGGGCTGAGTAATTACAGCAGCAACAGTATGGCCTACTAAAGGTGAAACTGTGTTTTGACCCTTTATGAAACAAGTTTGATGACCCCACTTTTTTGGAACCAGAGATACGTTAGGTCTAAAGAAGAATATGGGAGAGACACTAAGACTTTCTATTTAATTGGGGGTGATTCATTCCTCTCAATTTTCTCACTAAGTGAGAAACAATATCATTCCAGTTGACCAAGCCAGAAGCTAGGCATCTTTCCCCATTTCTTCTCCTTTACCTAAGTTGTTATCTACTTTGAATATCTCCCCTTTTTTTTCTTTTGGCTCTGTGGCATGTGAGATTCTAGGTGCCCCAAAAAAGGACTTAACCCATTCCCTCTGCAGTGCGGATGTGGAGTCTTAACCACTGGACCACCAGGGTGGTCTGTTGAGTATCTGTTAAGTCTCTTCACTTCTCTCCAGTCCACTGTCAGTACTTTAAGCTCCACCTATTTTGCACCAGGGCCCAGTTTCATGGAAGACAATTTTCCCATGGACCGGATGGTGGACGTGGATGGTTTCGGGATGACTCCAGCACATTACATTAGTTGTGCACTTTATTTCTATCATCAGCTTCACCTCAGATCATCATGCTTTAGGTCCCTGAGGTGAGGACCCCTGCTCTAATGGAAGCCTTTCTGTCATCTTCATTTGTCTAGACTACTACAAGCAGTACTGTCTGCTCTGTCCTCAGCTACCAGTCAATTGGACATGTTCAAAACTGAACTCTTGATTTCCCTCACCTCAAACTTGCTTCCTGTCTCAATTAGCAGCAAGTATATTGTTGCTCAGGCCAAACCTTGGAGTAATTCCTAACAAGTTTCTCTCTCAGACCTCACATATGTCAACAAATCCTGTTAGCTCTAATTTAAAAATGTTTTCTGATTCTGGCTCTTTTCCAGCTCTTCTGTCACCCTAATTTAAACTACATCATGCCTTACCTGGGTGATGGCAAAGGCTCCCAACTGGGTTCCTGCTTCCACCATTTTCTGTATATAATCTTCTCTTCAAGCAGTAGACAGATCGAGCTTTGCAATATGTTTAGGGTGGAACATACCACTGTCCTACTCACTACCCTTGAGATGCCTTGTCATCACACTCAGAATAATACCCAGAGCCTTTACCTTTGCCCAAATAGCTCTATAAGGTTGGATCTTGGCTGCTTCTATGATCTCAGCTTTTGCCACTCTCTCCTTTTCCCAGGCTGCTCCTGCTATGAAGGCTTCCTCATCATTCCCTAAAGGAGCCAATCAGGCTCCCCTTTTAGGGTCTCTCATTTGATGCTGCCTCTATCTGGATCTCTTTATCCCAAGGGATCACTTCATTCAGGTCCATGCTCAGACTCACTTCTAAAGAGAGGGTTTTCCTGACTTCCATATTGAAAACAGGACCTCTCACTCTATTCCTGTGTCTTGTAGTTTTGATTTTCACAGCTGTTACCTAGTATGCCCTCCCACACACTAGAATGGCTTAATTGAAATCTCATTGAAAGCAGGAACTTAGTCTGCTATGTCTATAGATGTAGATGTATTTCTAGTACCTAAAACAGTGCCTTGCACATACAAGTACTAGAAAAGTATTTGTGGAATAAATGAATGAATGGAGTCACCTTTCATTGGTCATCTCTGCCTTGACTCTTTCTCTTCCCTCCCATTGTCAGCACTGAAGTCAAAATGTTTTTTTTCTATATTTTTCAAAAAGGAATTAGCCCGTAGTCCCATTGTAATCTTGGTAAAATATCAAATTTGACCTCATTTAACCCAGTCCCTACTTAGTTCTCCAGCTTTATTTCTGACATGAGTGCATGCATGCTCAGTTGCTCAGTCATGTCTAACTCTTTGAAACCCTATAGCCTGCCAGGTTCTTCTGTCCATGGGATTTTCCTGGCAAGAATACTGGAGTAGGTTGCCATTACCTGCTCCAGAGGATCTTCCCATCCCAGGGATCAAACCCATGTCGCCTGTGTCTCCTGCCTTGCAGGATTATTTCTGGCACTGCTCCATAACTCTACCAGAGGAAAGTACTCAAATGCCCACAAAGGGAGTTGGGACACACTTGTTAAGCCCCACCTCTCTTTTCCCTCCTTTACCTGGCAGGCTCTCTTATGTCCATTGATACTCAATTAAACGTATTCTCTGGGAAGTCATCCCACCTCTGACTCCAAGAACTTCTTCTTTCTACATGCTTTATAGCACTTCATCATGGCTTTTATCACACTATATTTTGATTATTCATTTAAATATATGTCACCACAACCATACTATCTTACTTATTTTGATATCCATATTGCCTAGCACAACAAATACTTATCAAACAAGTTAAAAAGATATGTATGTTAGCCCTTACTTGAAAGAAATTTAAACTCCAGCAATCACCATAAATTTAAACTCCAGCAGCCACACTGTTGCTGCTGTAATTACTCAACCCTGCCTTTATAGTGGAAAGCAGTCATAGAAAATACATAAGCAGTTGAGCGTGCCTGTGTTTCAATGAACTTTTATTTACAAAACTGACAATTGGCTGAATTTGGTCCATTGGCCATTGTTTGGCTACTTCTGCAGTAGAGTAATGCTAAGCAATTTCTTCTTTCATCTGAAAGAAGTGTTTTTTTTGCTTTCTTAAACTTAACAGGTCTATTTAATCCTACATCTAAACCACTCCCTGAGTCAGGAGTATTAGGGTCATCAATCATCTCTTTGAATTACAACATGCAATTGCTAACATTACAGATTACCAAATAGTTTGCTAGTTTCTCCAGCGAATAATAGAAGCCTTTCCCACAATTTTCTCTGAAGGCTAACAATACTTCCAAACCTATTTCCTAGAACAACACTTGCTAAATATATTTTCTAGTCATTTCCTATGCCCTGAAGCTATTGTAAACAGTAAATAAGAAAATACATGTAAAACATTTGAGATATTGCCTGGCATATACTACATGCCCAATACATGTTAGCTATTAGTATTCTTCTTTTCTGTTCATTTTGAAAATGCACAAATGGCATTTACATTTTTCCTGGTCCTCAAGCTCATAGGACTGCAAGAAAGTCTGGTCGATGACTGATCACTATGACAGCATGTTGTAATTTGGCTGGAGGCTGTTGAAATAACAAGTAAAAATAGAGTCCAGAAATGAGAGATAGTAAGAATGCACTGGAGTTCTTCCAGACAGAGCTAGTAGAAAAGCAAATGTGATTGAACAGAGAAGGAAAAAAAATATGCTGAAAGTTCACAGACGTGGAGATAGAGTTTGGAAGTTTCTTTGGTCGCTCAGTGGTAGAGAATCTGCCTGCCGATGTAGGAGACATAGGTTCAATCCCTGGGTCAGAAAGATCCCCTGGAGAAGGAAATGGAAACCCACTCCAGTATTCTTGCCTAGAGAATCCCATGGACAGAGGAACCTGGTGGGTTATATTCCATGGAGTTGCAAAAGAGTTGGACAAGACTTAGTGACTAAAGAACAATGACATACAAATGTAAGGAGTAAGAATTTGGAAGCATACAGGGCTGCCATAAGCATAAAATAAGTTGGGGATATCTAACATCTTGATAGGCATGAGGATTTTGAAGAGAAAGGCTCTGCGTTCCAGTTCACCATCACACAAGCACACTCATTCACACCTCCATGAACACAACCCAAAAGAGCAGGCTGGGCGGTGATGGGGATAAAGGAAGCCAGGTAGAGAGTTAACTATGGTGTCAACCAAGGATAGACAAATCAGAGTTAGCCTCTCTGCCTGTATACTACTAGACATTCAGAGCTTATAAAGTAAGATCATTTAAAAACGACTGCTGGGATTTCCCACTTGTCAAACCTAAGAACTGTACTGTATTACAATTCATAAATGAATGTCCAGATTATGCTATGACAAATGTAAAAAGAATCTTAAAGACATTCATGCTCCAATTATTCCACTTCTAAGAATTTAACCTTAAAAACGTATTAGAACTGCTATTAAAGATTTATGTATGAGTCATAACCATATTGCTTATAATCAGGAAAATTGGAGACAACCTAAATCTAAATTTGAGCATCAGTTACATGAACAATTCCATATTTATTTAATATTTACAAAGTCATTAAAATCCAGGATTGAAAATAATATTTAACAACAGGGGAAAGTTTTCATTAATATTATTCAGTGCTAAAAGCAAGTACATTTTTTTAAATAAAAATGTGTCTTTACATAAAGGTCCAGAAAAATAACATTGAGAGATTGATTTGTGACCTTTTTCTTAATATCACAAAAGAGACTAGAAGGAATGAGTAGTTACCTTTCTCCTCTGTCCCAAGAAGAAAACTAAAATTTGTGTTTTGAATTATTAGCAACATTGGTTATGGGTTTTTTAAGTGGCAGAGTTGAAGGCAGCAGTTTCTAGTATGAGAGCATAGTCACCTGACCTAAAGGCAGATGTAGCCAACTACGGAGGAAGAAAGATTTGAAGAGCTATAACAAGGAGAAAGCAGGGATTTGTAGATTCCAAGAAGAGCTAGAAGGAACACCATACTCCTTCTCAGCATCCATGCAGACCAACGACTATAATCAATGTCAACTTGATATGGAAGCAGCAAAACCACCTTTCTTCCAGGGACCAGGTAAAAGTGGACAACAAGCCTGGTGTGGGAGTCAGAGTGGACTAGAAAGTAAAAGGCACAGCTTGTCCCATCAAGTGGAAGAAGTCCACCAAATGTCTGAGATTCCATTTCTCCCTGAAACCCACTTGAGAGCTTCA